TCTTCTACCTCTCAGCTGCAATTGATGTATGGTTTGTAACAAGATTTGCAAGAGCCCCCAATAAAATGACTTTTTGAAAAATCTTCTATACCATTGACTTCTCTTGGAAAATGGAATGAGCTGGCTGCACTGGGAGCATTCTTGCCTGGAGACGATCGGTCCACGGGAAGAGGGAGTTGCTCCAGCTACATGCTGCCTGCATCCTTCCAGGACTTGACTCTCCTTATTGCCGATCTCTGCAGATCTGAGCCTTCAACATGCTTTAAAACGAGGACAGAAATGCGGCCCCTCGTCAATTAGCTCCCTCTGTGATCTGCATTGGTGGGTGAATGACAAAATGAGCATGTTTGGAGAAAACTGGCCAACAGCTCCCAAACCAGGCTTCTTCTCCTCATCCATCCAGGAGGCTGTTGCTTTGGGTGTTCCAGATCTGGAATGTCCCTCGGTGAATCTTCCCAATCTCATCCACTTCAAATTGGCCTTCCTGATGTGTTCAGCAGCCCCCTCTGAAAGCCATCTCTGCTCTAAACTTCCAGAGAATCTCCTTCCTGTACACACTCAAGCCCTCTGCTTTGAATTCCCAGTTGGCTAACGCAGGGACTTAGGACATGTGGTGAGGGGAGACCAGTCTTTGGAAAAGGACTTTCAAGATGGACTGACACAATGGCGTCAAACTGAAGTACAATTGTGAGGCCGGCACAGGACTGGGCAGTGTTTCCTCCTGTGGTGCACAGGGCCACTAGGACTTGGAATTGACTGGAAGGCTCCGGACAACTCGGGTACACATACATCTTCACTCCCCAGAAGAAAGGGGCCGAAACATTGACCTAGTTATTCCCTTGGAGGGCCTCCTAGAACAAAGCTCAGCACAAAAGGTGCCCAGTTATTTATTACTCAGGCATCTTACTGTTAGTGAGGTGGTATACAGGCCTAAGAGTTTACACTTCAGAATTCAATTTCTGACTCTACCATGCAGTGTGACTTGTGCTTAGTAATCTTTAAAATGGGAGAATACTGGTACAAAGCCTCCCGGCTGTGAAGATTAAATGAAACTGCTAATCAAGGGCTCAGCGTTAACTTCCCACAACACAGAAATGTGTAACTTCCTTTGGGAGACAGGTTTGCAGGAAATGAAGCCATACAGGACCGGAAGCCCCACTCCTCTGGAGGTACATGCAGTTGGAACAGAAATGCAAGGGGAGGGTGGTGCAGTCAGAAGCATGGAGACCAACTGCAAACTTTTGACTCTTTAGCTTTTAAATAATCCCTAGTGGTTACTCTTAGAGATTCTAAACCAATCCCAGTTGGTACTGGGATGGGAAACCAGTTTTATTGCAGAGTTGTGACCCACACCAAGGGCACCGATGGTGTAGCGGACAGACTTGGGCTAAGAATGAGCACAGGAGGAAGCTACCAGCTGCACCACGGAGCAAGTCTATTGTCCCTGTGTGTCAGAGCTGACTTGAGGGCAGTGGGTATCTGGGAACTTAGCAAGAAGGTACAGGACCAGGAATAACTTTACATAGGCGGGGTGTCTGACAATCACAACAAAAGAGATGACGGGGTGAGGAAGGACGGGGAGGAGAAGAAGCAAGGGGTGGGTAGTGTTTTGGGTGATTGCAACGGCAGTAGATGACACACACCAACAGCCCACCAGTATTTACCATCAGTGGAACGAAGCCAACAAGACAGGTGTGGCCAGCCTTCAAACAGCCACTGTGTCCCGGGCTTGCCTTTCCAATCTGGAGAGCAAGAGACTGCGCCAACAGTAACCACTGCCCCAAAGCACCACGCAAACAAAAAGCTTCTCAAACGTGCTGGTTTTAATGGACGCTGTGACAAGGTATTTTACTCCTGCATCTTCTCCAGTGATTCCTCCTTGTATTTGCCCTTTTCCTTTCCGACTTGGCGAGATTTGGCTTTCCGCTCCAGGATCTTTTTGCGGTCTTTGTCCAGTTTTAACCTCGTAATGACCACCTGCAGAGAAGAACACATTCCCAGGCTTTAAACAAGGACCAATAGAGACCACATGGGGCTCAATGTTCAATTCTGTATGTCAAAAACCGTAGAGGACGCAGACACTAAATCTTAAGTCATGCAACTCCAAAATACCAGAAATGACCCTTTGGCCTCCAAGTCACTTGGGTTTAAATGTCTGCCATCTGTTTAGTGGCAAAGGAGAAATGGCAAAATGGCATCTTCTCACTCCCAGACATGCACTCCCAAATCAGCTTTTTTTCTACTGCAAATGTCAACCCTCGCACCCGTTATTCAAGTTATATAAGCCACCAAATCACACACAACTTCTTTCTTAAGAGAAACAGAGCAAAGTGCTAGAAATAGAACTGCTCCAGACGTTTCAAGGGCGCCCGTTCAGGAGTGAATCACCAGGCCTTTCTTCTGAGATGCTTCTCTTAACGGTGCCACCCTGGGCTGTGGCTGATAAAAATATGGCAACGTGGGGAGGCTGAGGGCTGATGAGTAAGTTAAGGTCTGTCGGATAACCAGGAAACACTGCCCAGGGGAATTTTAGGTTTGAACATCTGAAGAAGTGAAGTGTTCCAAAGAGAACCCCTAAGCACAAAGGTCTAGAGACTGAACGGTTCTGTAGGTGCCCTTCACACTCATATGGGAAGAGACGGCAGGGAGTTGGATCCTGTTTAGGAAGCCTCGGAACTGAGAGCAATCCTGTCACCTTCCCAGGTGACAATGACAGGCCCATGGCGTTTGACTCAAGAGTCCAAAAGGGTCTGATGTTTCCTTGAAGCCAACAAGCACGTTTCTGAGCACAATGTACATCAGTTAGTAAGTTTTATTGACTGAGTGGATGTTAAATGAGACAAAAAAATGAGGTCTTTGGGGTCAGAGCAACCGGGAAGGTCAAGTTGGGAACTGGAGCCCTTCAGGGTTTGCTCTATCTGTTGGGTCTCAAGTGATTCTCAAGCCTGGGGTTCGAAGGAAGCAGTGTGTAGAATTTAGACTGGAATTAAAGAGACAAAGATAGGTAACCTCACTGATGGCTAAATTTGTACTAATTCTTTAAACTTTGGGGCCACACACAATTTTTGCCAAATTTAAGTTTTGTAAACATGAGGCAAAATGACAGGCGGTATGAAGTCAGAAGCCAATTAAATTGCTACCAATTAAAACGGAGGAGTCTTCACACAAAACGCAGGAGAGCCACGGGCTGCTGCAGGGACCAGACCAGATAGATGTTCTGTTTTGGACACTCACTAGCCATGGGAGCCTGTTTTCCTTAGCTGCACACGGCTCAAGGCCGACATCCAAGCCTGAGCCCAGCTTTCAGGAAATGTTACCACTCCTTCAGCAATGCACATCAAACATACACACAGAACAGCTGGCAAAGGCACTTTAAACATCAACCCTCAAAGTGCAAAATGCTATTAAGGCGGTTCTGATGCCCAACTCATTGGCAACAACCAAGAGCGCCACTACTACTGTACCTACCGCCAGTTCCTATCAGAATTGAGAAGAATGCACTTGCCTGAAAGCATGGCTTCTAACCCACCTAGAATGCAGGGATATTTCCAAGGGGTCCTAAATTATATTTGCCAGCAATGATCTGTCATAATTGGCCTTTCAGGTTATTTTAAAAAGCATTACCTTGCTGGGGTGAATGCCCACATGCACAGTGGTGCCGTTAGCTTTATCTCGTTGCACCCGCTCAATGTAGATGACGTATTTCTTGCGGTACACCTGGACCACTTTGCCAATCTGCTGACCTTTGTAGTGTCCTCGCACAACCTGGGTACACATTGTAAAAATCACAGGAATGGGTAGAAGATCAAGATTAACCCTGCCAATCACCTGCAAATAACTCTCCCCTCCAATCCAGTGATGGGTTGGGTAGTCCTACCATAGATGGCTCACTGAAGCCATGTGTTTGCTTCAAAAGGTTAAAAGATGAGCCCCCCTTGATTTTATGAATATTTTGCAGTTAAGTCAAACACAAGGAACTCGTCACTTTATTTCAAAAGGAGTAGCAACATGTCACAAATACTTAATTCGCAACCCATTCAAAAATCCAACCCAATGTCAGACGAGGTGGCAACAATCATTTAAAGACCAAATCAAATTCCCCCTTAAAAATCAAGATTCCCTACTCAAACCCTATTGCACCTCAGCTTATTAGGACACAATGTAAAGCACTCCCAGGCAGATGCTTCCTTCCAGCATCCAATCTTCCTTGAACCAGTATGTCCACATGCGGGAATGGTTTCAACTACCAGGGATATAAAAAACACAACACGTGGAGGTACACACCTGAACTTCATCATCCTTGCGGATCGGCATGGACCGAACGTTGTATTTCTGCCGCAGTTCCTTGGAAAGCGGGGAAGACATAATCTTCCTGCGGACGTGGGAGGGCGCATTGAAATGCCTCTTCCGGTTTTTGCTCCGGTCCGAAGTCACGAAGGGATTGAACTTCATTTTGGCTAAGTATAAAAAAAAGATGTATGGCTCTTCAAATCGCCGAAGATTTAAACAAGGTAAACTTTTCAACCCCAAAGCTTACAACAATTACAGAGTACGGGCATGTTCTTCCAATTATATTGGTCCTTAAAGGTCTGATTGACACGTGGTTGTTTTTTTTCCTTCGCTTTATGAGGCTACTTTCTGAATTGGTTCCTAGGATACACATTTCCCCACTAGCACCCTTTCTAGCCATTAAACTTTGTGCTTGCACTCTCGAAAGCCGACTTTTTTGAGCACTACGTGAGTTATGACAGGACTCCTCCTTCTCGGTACCCCTGCTGAAATAGGGCAGTCACCGGGGGTTCAGTTATAAAGTCACCTATAAACGGGCTAATCCACGTTACATACGGGTGAACTTGGGTCAAACAGCGACCTCCAAAATGAACCAAGTCCCTCCGCCCTGAACCGGTACCATCCTGCTCAGCCTTACAAGGGGCGAGCGCGCTTCAGAAGTCCCACGAACACTACACCGAGGCGTTACATCAAGGGCACTCTTTCGGGAACAGTGTACCCTGTCGAAACTTGGCATCTCCATCCATCCCCTCCCCTCCGGTGGGAGTCCCAACATTCCCAGTCTCGCCTCGCGTACCCTCCCCAGCCCGGGGCCTCCGGAACGAGGGGATGGGCCAAGGCCATCCTGGCTCCCCGATTTGGCTGCACTTCGGCCGCAGGAAAAGTCTCGGAGTCCCCGAGGGAGAGGGTCGTGGCAGGCAGGAAAGGATGGCGGCGGATTAAAAACGCCTTCCTAGCAGATCCTCACCCGCTACTCCTCCAGCGATGGCCCCAAAAGGGAAAAGAGTTACAAGCCTCTTCCGGTTCCGTAAGTTTCCGCGAAATCTCGCGAGACCGAGATCTCGTAGAGCGAGAGGGGCGCGGAGTTTGAACCTTAAGGTCCGGAGAAATTGAGGAGTAGTGCCACCTAGTGGCTCGGAGGGGAACAGCGAGGGACTGTAACGCTCCCTCCAGGTGCGCGGAGTCGACTTTCGAAGGGTAGAGCTCCGCCGCCGAGGCCTCTGGGAAGGTTGTCCAAGGGCAGATGATGGCAGGAGCTGTCAGGCGCTGAGCTGCTGGGCAGCCCCCGTGGATCTTCCCACTCGGGCATCCCCTTTGCCAGAATAAGGCAGGTTCTCTTTTTGGTTCTGTGTTTCACTCTGTTGTGCATAAGTG